AAATAGATCACAAGATCTATGCAATTTATTTAGAAGAGTTTTAAAAAAAATGACATGATGGCATGATGCAATGCAAATGATGCAACAACCAAAACAAATCACACGACGAAACTCGGAGTCGCTGGAAGTCTTCTGGAGCGTCGGTCTCGGGGCGTTACACATACGCCTTGGCAAGGTCTAGCTTATATGCACAGTATGTATTGTGGGGGGGTTTGCTCTGCTGAATCTTATGAAAACATTCAAATGCAATAATCGCATTATCCGTAATCAACCTTCCTGGAACAAACGCGCTCTGCGTTTCTGAGATTAATTCGTTCAAAAAAGGCCTCATATGATTAACCAAGCACTTCGAGATAACTTTATAAATTACATTACATAGGCTAATCGGCCGGAAGTCTCTTAAGTTCTGTGGATCATTTCCTTTGGGGATGAGCACAATGGCTGTGTCGTTGATTCCCTCTGGCATAATGCCCTCTGCAAAAAACCTCTGCACTGCGGCTATCACATCTTCCTTTAGAGTGTCCCAGTTGCGTTGGAAGAAACGTGCGGGGAAGCCGTCGGGGCCAGGCGGTTTGAGAGGGCCAATCTGAAAAAGGGCGTCACCGATTTCTTTTTTTCTTGAACTCCTTCGTTAGGTTCCTGTTCATCGTGGCAACATATCAATCAATTCAAAAGGCTCAACCCCCTCTTCCTTCTTGTACAAATCCTTGAAGAAATCTGTAGCCAGTCTGTTTAGAGCCTCTTTTTCCTCTATCCATACACCATCATTATTTTTCAGTTTTTTTATAGCATTCTTCTTTTGCCTCCACGTTGCTTTCCTATGAAAGAACTTTGTATTTTGATTCCCTTCTTTGATCCATGCCGCCCGAGAGCGCTGTCTCCACATAATTTCCTCCCTCAGTAGTAGTTCATCCAGTTCAGCCCCTGTTTGCTTGATCAACTCCTCATTCTCTCCTTGCCTCGATTTTTCGGTGAGCTCCTTTAGCTTCTGTCGTTTCTTTTTAATGTTCCATGTGACAAACCCAAAATCCTTTCGAGACCAGGTCATCAACGATTTCTGAACCTCTCCCAGTTTTTGTGCCACCCCTGCTAGTGTGCTTGCAGCGCCTTCCTTACTCCACGCCTTCTTTACAGTCGGTTCCAACGTATTTACTCTTTCCCACATCATCTCGTATCTGAAATTTTTCTTTCTGTTCGACATATGGACCTTATCCAGAGTGAGAAGCAAGGGGAAGTGGTCTGATCTTGAGGTAACAATATGTTGTATCTGACCATGCGGGAACAAATCCATCCATTGTCCTGATGCCACTCCCCTGTCTAATCGAGCCTTCACATTTGCCTTCCCCTTTTGATTGTTATCAAAGGTCCATGCCGGCCCTCTGTATCCCAGATCATATAGGTCACACCATCCCAACACTTCCCTGAAGTTGCTCATGTGTCGTTCAGATCGCTTCGCGGCAGAAAAGTGTTCTCCTTGCCACATAGTTTCATTGAAGCCACCAATCATCATCCAAGGTTCTGCTGATCTAGGCTTTATTCTCCAGATTAGGTTCCACATATGGTATCTCTCTTGGGCACGCGGCTCACCATACACAAATGTACCTCTCCAGAGTGGGCTGTTGAGGGAATCCCGGATATGAACATCAATGTAACGCGAACCATAAGAGAGCAGATTTATTTCAACGCTATCGTCCCAAAAGAGGGCGATGCCGACACCCTTGCCAACTCCATCATGGGTGATACAATTCTTGAGTCCTATTCTATCTCTTATTCTTTTAACGCTCTCTTCACACTGTCGTGTCTCTAAAATGAACACAACAGAGGGGCGATGGGTATGCACTAGGCACACCAATTCCCGAACCGTACCAGGGTGGCCCAAGCCCCGGCAGTTCCAGTTTAAGATCGTCATTCCTCCTGACGGGCGCTCTCTGTCGCGCCCGCCAGTTCCCCGATAGCCCCTTCACCGGTAGCTTCCTTTCCACCTAACACCCTTGCTCCTCCCTCCTCCTTTCCCTCCACATCACCTCTCTGTTTTTTTACACATGTCCCCTATTACAACAGATTCTCTAGTATTAACCAAAACTGGTGCAGCCGTGTCGCCTATAGCTCTCTTGCCAAGCACCGAGTCCATATCCCCTGATCCTTTCCTTCCCTTGAACTGACTAATGTACCTCTTAGCTTTGACCTTTAGCCATGTATCCTATGTCTTCTCCGTATCGCTGATATGTCTGGTCTGTTCTCTGTCTTGGACAGCCAAGCCATCCACCTTGCCCGCTTCATATGAAACCTGCACCTTCCCTGTCTTCGCCCCCGTATCTCCTGGAATGACAACAGCAGCAGCGGCAGGTGAGGCCTTGACCGTGTCCTGTCCAAACCCCGGCGGATAGGGAGGGGTTGCTACACCCGCAATGTTGTGAGCGAGCGGGGTTTTGTCGATGTCGCCCCCCGCCCTGATAGCCGGAGTTGTAGTTGGTGCAGTGTTTGCGCCAGCCTAGGCCATGGCTGGAGTAGAGACCGTGGTCAGCGCGGGTTGTGCCGGGTCCGTCGCCATGTTTTCGCCGATGCTTGTTTTCCTTGCACCATCCTGTCCATGGCCTTCACTCACTCTGAGCGCGCTCACCGCGGCGATCGCCGCTTGTACAGCCAGGTCCAGTAGTACATCATCAGAGATATCCCTGTACCTTACCATCTCCTATGAGCGAGCATGCACCACCCTCTTGTCCCTGCCAAGTTTCTCCCAGGCCAACTTGGCCGGTGCTGTCCATGCATCCCCATCCAACTCGGACCCAAAGTGCAGGAACTGTCTGGCGCTGCACGCATCGGGCGCCATGAATCCTCCCTTGTTTTTGCTTGATTTGTAGGGCGATGCTCTCATCGCACCTGTGAACCTCACTGTTTGATCATCTATCGACAGCCTGCAGTCCCTCTCCCCATGTCCTATATGCCCACAGTACATATAGAAAACGGGGGGCTCTCTCATACTTGACCTCTAGGTCCATTTGTTCCTCCACCCCTAACTCTCTAGGACCGATCTCACGCAGGAGAGGAGTGTTTACATCATGTTCTACCCGTACACGGAGAAATTCAGAGATAATATTCCCAAACTTATCAGCATCTACTCCCAAAACTTTCCCCAAAAGGCCACCCAGCGCCCATCTGATCTCCTCCGAGAGCATGAGAGGTGGTACATCATAGATGCGCGCCCAGATTGGCATGACGTTCACCGGCACGTCCGACGCCTTGCCCTGTTCATCAAAGGGAACAATGAGGAATGCATCCTTACGGTGTGTCCAAGGGCCGTTCTGCAGGACGTGCCGGCGATCACCCTCACGCTCGAATTTGAGCATGAAGCGATTGTTGCGGAGAGGCGTGTAGCTGAGCAGTCCGTGCAGCCCCCACTTGCTCTTCAGTTCACCAAACAGGCTCGCCGTGCTGAAGGGGAGCACGGAGAAGAAGTACCCCACAGCGAGCCAGCGGGTACTCATGGCAGCCCTTGCCCTTGTCAGGTCGAGTTCGATCGTTGGCGCGCCACGCCACGCTGCTGGCGCCGCTGCCGGGCCAGGGGGAGGGGCCGGCAGAGCATTGCCCCCCTGCCCGCCATGTGATGAGGAGCCTCGCTCCATTCTCCTGCCCCCGCGCTCGCCGCCGTTCGAAGGGGCGACCTCGAGCCTGCTCTCGGTGGCTTGCTGCTTCATCTTGCGACCGCTGGTGTTCTCCATCTCGTGCTCAAGGGCAGGCGTATGGTGTTCTTGCGGCTGTGGTGTGGAGTCTCCCAGTATTGTGCATATCTTTTTATACACGTAACCATGGCTCACACAAGGAAATAGATCCCTTTTGATTGATTTCATCCTTACACACCTGTATGGGGGATCCCCGGTTTGGGTGAATTTGATGTGTTTCTAAATCAGGCATATGGTCACTCCCCCATCATCCACCTGGCTCCCTTTAATTCTTCCCTCGGACTCAAAATCCTCTACCATCTGTTCACTCCCCCCTGATCCGTCAGAAACACCATCTGTCCATCTGCGCAATCCTGGGTCGGGGTAGGAAGCATAGCACCACAAATCATTTCTTTCTCTGAATCACCATCTGGGCCACTCTCAATCTTCTCCTTTATTCCCAATCCTTTCCCTACAATCCGGGATTTGTTGATCAGATCTTGATCCCTCTGGCTCCAATCCAATCCGCCCTTAACTGCCTCTAAATTTGATCTGTTTCCTTCCATGGTCCTGCGGAATCGATCCATCCCTTCGCGTACACGCCCCAATATCTCCTTCGATCTTG